TGATCAACAGCTAAGTCTTCCACCATAGGTTCCGACCGAACTGTCTGATCCACGTCAACAACCGGAGCATCGTCAGAAGCAGAATCTTCATCTGAGTCTGAGCCCTCAAGAAACTGTTGCTGCATGACATTTGCGTACTCCGTAAGGGATTTCGGTATAAAGTAGGCTGGAGGGTCGAAAACCTCGGTTTGAGGATCATGACCGAGCTTCTCAACGGCTCCCCTCCAGCCGCACTTAAAAAGCAACTCCTTGGCAGCCTCACATTGCTTGACGTATACATCCTCAACCTTTTTGAAACTTTTCTTCTCGGCCTCTTTTGCGCTCTCCTTCGCCTGGGTTATTTCGGCGTCTTTTTTCTTTTCAAGTTTTACCAGCTCGCGCAGGTACTTGTCCTTCAGAGCAATGGCAGTCTTTTGTTTTTCGGCTTCGGCCGAACTAACCATTCCAGTCAGTCTGCCGACCTCACCCCGTAGTTCTGCCATTTCCTTTCTGGCCTCCTCCAGCTCGGCCGCTTTTGCCTCAGCCTCTGCCGCTGCTTGCCTAGTTACTTTCCTAAGCTCCAGTACTTTCCTATGGGTAATTTGGTTTTTCTGAAGGGCCTGACAAAGCAAAGATTTCCCTTTAAACCGAAGTAGAAGTTGAAAAAAGAAAGTAGACAGCAAAACGACCGAAGTTGCTTACCAGAATCATGGATTTCGTCGTTGACTGGATGGCCTTTAGTTCGGTATTCAGTTGTTTTTGGTGATGCTCCATGTCTTTGGGGAGGCACACACCCTTGGCCAGATTGAGGGCCAACAAGTGGTCTTTTTCAGCAACAACCGAATCTGTATCTCGGATGTCTCGGTCGTTGAAGGTAAGTTTTGGGGCCCAGCTGCCGGTAGTTCGGTCAGAAGGTACCAGTTGAGGGCTCGGTGGCAAGCTCGACGGAAGTACGGGTTCTGCTTCATCAACCAAAATTTGTTCGGTCTCAGCAGTCCGAGCGCGCTTGGTTCGGCGAGAAGAGGACGGCTGTTGAGAAGGGAGGGCCACAACAGCAGGTTGCGATTGGCTGGGTGGTGTTACTTCGGGCCTAGTTGTTTCGGTCAGAAGGGCCCTAACTCTGCTTTTCTTTGCCATCTCTTCTTCAGCGGTTAGTGGGACAAGTCGTATTTCGGGCAAGGTTGGGTCCGGTTCAGGTGCTCTGCTACATAATTGAGCACAATAAAACCAACAACTAAACGGCAGCCCACAGCAAGGGTGTCCCTACACTTAAATCAAACTCCAATGCATTCACTCAGCAGATCTCTACTTTATGACAATGCATATCTTATCTTTTGAGATGTAGCCCTGGGCTGTATAGAATAATCCTACTGAACTATGTTTCACCCACAAAGTAATTCTTGTTTTAATAGCTTCACATAGTTCCTCCATGTCTGGTTGGATGCTATTGAACACACAATCATTTCTATATTTCCATATTGCCCAAAAAATCATAAGTGAGATGGCTTTCCAAATCTTACCTTCCATCTTCTTCCATTTATAGCTGAACACAGCAGGGAACTCAAGTCTGTCATAGTAATCGCCTCTGCTCTGGCACGAATAGTAGTTTTCAAAGCTGCATATTCATCTGGTAATCCGTTGAGTGTTATCAGAACCAGATCTTCATCTTCAACCGTAGCTGATACAAGACTAAGTTGATCTGCAATATTGTGAATCTGAGTCAAATATTCCTCCATTGAGAGACCTTTCTTGGTGACTGATTGAAGTTTATTCTTCAATTGATGTATGTGAGATCGAGAGAGTGAGGTAAATCTCTTCTCTAAAGTACTCCAAACTTAAGCACAGTGTTGACAATGAAAAACTGTGGAGAACACAGAGGAGGAGAGAGTTGCAGTAATGCAACTTAACAAATGTGCATCAATGATCTTCCATCTTGCAAACTTTGGATTTTCAATAACTTTTCCAGATGGATCAAGGATCTGTGGAGCTGGACATGGAATCACTCCAGTTACAAAATCAAACAACTCTGTGGCTCTAAGCACATTCTGAAGCTGATGTTTCCAGATAAGAAAATTAGAAGAATCAAGTTTCACTGTTACTAGAGACTGAAAATTTGAAATCAGTAAACTAAGATTTGGTGGTAGAGAAGATGATGAAACTGCCATGACTGAATCTTGCTCGTGAGAGCTGTTTGGCTCTGATACCATAATAAGAAATGAGAAAAGAATATGTCATTCACTTCACTTTGATATTTAGGCCTACATCTATTTATAGTTCATACAAGAGAGTTGGTTAAGAAGTTGTTACAACAAATTCTAACTAACTGAACAAACTCTAAACTAACAAATACTAACTGAACCTACACTCTGATCTGTTGTGACTTCATGTTGCTGTGTTTGCTGCATATGTGTTTGCTGCATACTCTGGTTCTCATCAAGATGTAACAGGTGAGAACAAGAGTATATATCCAGCACTAATAATTCATATTTGCTGACTATTTAACATGGACACCTATTAATAAGCAAGAGAAGGCCACCATGTCAAACACAAGACACCATAGGTATACATAGAAATATCAGCTCACATCCTAAAAATACCAAAATGAAGAAAAGTTCTAAAACCTTTTGCATGTCAACACAAGTTAGGTAAGAGAAGACTCTATCTTGCAAAATAGCATAGTTGTGAAGGGAAAAATATATTGAAAGAACATCTAGTACAACAAGTTTTATAATGACATCATTCAAACACTAGAAGCACTAGCCTAAATAGCCAAAGCATGTGCATGATATTTGTTTAACCTAATACTCCAAACCATGCAATTGTTACAGAGATATAAAAGTTTTGTATATATATCTTTTGGTACATTGTATTCCAAAGCCTGGGAGACGAGGGAGTCATGTTTGTGACAAGACTAGAATCCCAAAGAAACTAAAGAAAAACTACAAATGCGAAAGAAAATATGTAGTGAACAACTATTTATCCAAGATTTTGGTTTTCCTCTTAGTAACTAATGGATGGGGATTTTTTTTATAGATCTTTCAATTTCAGTTTTTAGAGAATAAATATATGTTATTCGTGATGAAATGTTAATTTTCTAATGAGAATTTACCATGCTTATAACATATGTATTATAACTAATTAAATTTATAAATTCTTACAATATATTCATGAGAGGGTAATTTTGAGTGAAAATTGGGCCGAGCTATGAGACGGACTTTATGGCCCAAAGTATGACGGACTGAGTAAAAAGGGCCGAAAAGTTACTCAGGCCCAAGGGAGATAAAGTTACTCCGGCCAAAAGAGATGAAGTTACTTCGGCTCGTGAATTGTTAAGCTACTTCGGTCCGGGAGCAACTTGAAGTTAGATCGGTCTTGAAGGTACATCGTTCTTGAATTTATACCGGCTTTAGAGGTATACCGGTTTTGGAGTTATACCGGTCAAAGTCGTTGGTTCGGTCCAAGCACACCATGAGTTGAACAAGTGAGAACCGAGATAAGGAAATATAAGCGGAAGGGCCGAACTAAGGATAGTTCGGCTTTCTTTGTGGCTCAGCATAGCCAGGTTTATCTCGGTCGGATGATAGTTCGGCCATGGTGAAGACCATCCCACTTGGTTTAAGCAGTGGGGGGGTGTAAAAAGATAAGCATTATCTTTTAGGAGCATGAATCCTAGGAGGACTCTGCATGGAGAAATAAAAGTCCTACTAGGATTATGCCACTCAAAACCTATAAAAGCTCACAAACATCACCTTGGAGGAGGTAGCAGAACACAACTTTGCTTTTTGAATACTCAGAGCTTTGTCTATTTGTCAAGTTTACTGACTTAGGCATCGGAGAGGTTTCCGGCACACACCCGCCGGCTAGCTCACGTTTGTGTTTTCAGGTGATAAAGCGACGACGTACGGAGGAGAGTAGACTTGGTCAACAGGATTATACGAGAATGTTTATTTCTTTCCCGTACAAAACCTTAAAGGAGTTCTTTTCTTTCTTGTGCTGTAATTGCAAATTGTAAGAATGTCATCTACATAAATGAATTAGATTTTTGTCTCAGGATTTTTGGATTATTGAGAAAGAAAATATGTATGTAATGTTTCAGATACTTGGTATGTATTGTATTCAGTATAGTCCTTTATGGGAATTTTACAAAAAATATGTATCATAACCTTTTATTCTTTGTCGTCATTTTACATAAAGTTAATATTATAATAAAAACTAAACCAATTAATAATGTGCGTTAAGATGAAACGTGATTTGTAAATAGAGTGTTCCTACGCACACCCACTTTTTTTTTTTTTTTTGTCATTTTCAAGTTTCAATTAACCATTTAATCAAAACCAAAACCAAAACTAAAACGGAAGAAAAATCAAAAAGTCAAGCTACCCAATCCATCATCTTCTCTCTCTCCTACTTTATATATATACACCACACAACACATCCCTCTGAAAACATACTCATATGCCACCCAATCCACTAAAGCCTGATTCTATTATATAATTTTTTCATTCATATATTTTTTATGTTTAATTTTATTTATTTTTATTTATTTTTGTAATGAACTTACTTCTCCACCATAGTTTTTTCGGGTGAATACTTCTCCACCATAGTTCCATCACACTAAAACCTATTTTTGGAGGGAACATGGCCTCAAATACCCCTCACACACCCACTCTTTTTTTTCTTTTTTGTGTGCTTCGTTTGTCATTGTCAAGTTTCAACTAACCATTTAACAAAAACCAAAACCAAAACTAAAACCAAAGAAAAATCAAAGTCAAGTTACCCAATTCATCATCCTCTCTCTCTCTCCTACTTTATATATATACACAACACAACACATCCCTCTGAAAGCATACCCATATACCACCCAACCCTAACCAGCCATGGACTGGTTCTCATGGCTATCAAAAACAGGACTCGAGCCCTCCTTAGTATACGAATACGGTCTAGCTCTCTCCCACAACGAGCTCGAACAAGACGACATAGTTTACTTCAACCACGAGTTCCTCCAAAGCATGGGCATCTCCATTGCCAAACACAGGCTAGAAATCCTCAAACTAGCCAAGTCAGACAGACCACCACCCACCACAACCACCATGTCGAGACTTCTCATAGCGATCAAGCGAACCAAGAGGTGTCTTTCCAAGTACATTCGGACCTGGGTTCGGCGCGAGGACTCTGCTCTAGTCCTCGTGCCGAGGCGGAGCTATAGTCATAGATGGAAAGGAGCTATGGCGGCCAAGAAGAGGAACAAGAGGTTGGTTATGTCATCGTCCTCGAAGCAAGGGAGGCTTTTCTTAACGAATGGGAGTCCCATGGTCATGATGTCTGGCCCTGGTCCCAGAATTAACAGTTTTTCGAGTCCGATGGTTCATGATCTGAATCAAAAGGTTGATGAGGATGGTGGTGCTGATGATGATGATCCCTACTGGTCGACCGGTGTTGAGGAGATCAGGTGGGATACCATGTTTCAGGATTTGAAGCCTACCTGAACAATTTTTTTTTTTTTTTTTTCTCTTTTGGTTTAATTATACCGACACTCCTTTAATTATTAACGAATATCACTTTATCGCCTCATTTATCAACCTGTATATTTGAATCTTTCAACTATAAAAGTGTATAATTTTTTCTCGCTAAATACCCCTTCCAAGAAGGTTGTTTTTATACAATTTTTATAGTTGAAGGGTAATACGTACGGGTTCATAGATGAGGAGATAAACTAATATTCGCTGGAGTCTTGGTGTGATCAGTTTTTTTAAAATCTTGTTTATGTGTTTTAGGTGTACAAAATTAAAATATAAAATATGCACACTAAAAATATATTATCTGACTAATATTTATTTGAAGATAAATCTTTACTATATAATATATTTTTTGTGCATATTCTGTATTCTAATTTCTATGCGTACTATTATTGCAAATTCAATGGTGAGAGATGGTGTTTTTATGGTTCTTCCACCAGAGAGTTTTTTGTGTGTTTTTTGAGACTTTTTTGTGTTAGCTTTTTCTTTAGTGGTGGTGGTGGTGGGTCATGCTAATTGGTAAATTGGCCACTTTAGCACCATTAGGGTCTGTCTGAGTGATGAGATTGTCTCCTTTCTTTTTCTCTGTTTGTATGTATTTTTTATCTAATTTGGTAGAAAAAGAGGGCACCAACTGATAGCATCTTGTGAAGAAAATCATTGTGCTAAGTTTGACAAAAAGACTTGTAAGGCTTACAGTTCTTTCTCTCTTTATTTTTTTTACTTTAATCTTCGTTCCAATTTTTTCTTTTGTTTTAAATTCATAATTTTTTTTTTTGTAGATTCAACTCTTTGCCCAAAAATATTTTGATAATTGGACTGTATCAATTCACATCCATTGATGGTGTGTTTGGTTGAGAGATTTGGGGAGGGATTTGGAAACAGAAAGGGAAAAGGTGTGTGAAACTATGTAAAATATAGGCATGATTTATTCACATTTCACATACCTTTTCCATTTTCCTTTTCAAATCCCTCTCCAAATCCGCCAACCAAACACACCATGAAGGTACCATCATCCATTCCACTAGTAGTTTGTATATTTTGAAAAATTAAGGACTTGTATGTTGTAGATTCCTGTAAGTTAAAAGCTGATAATTAAAAGTATAGTATAAGTTAAAAAACATCAATTTTATTGCTTTTCAAAAATTATTGTTTTTTAATTTGTTTAAATTATTTTTATCTATTAAATAACAAAAAAGTGATACCAAATATTTTTTCACAGATTTTCAAAATAAATAAAACCAATAAATAGACCCACATACTACACCAAGCAACACCTAATTATTAAACTAGTGGATCACATGTTTTGTTAAGTTTGGAAATAAATTATTTTAATTATTATTATTATTTTTTTTTAGGAAAAATCGTGCCAAAAAACTAAAGAGATTGATGTGATTGAATCTTTTTGGTTATTTTAATTAAAAAAAAAAAACTATTTCCGAACAGGGCCTTATTGTCCGCTGTTCCTCCTACAAGTTGCATACCACATGAAAATAGAAAGTCACTATCTAATAAGCAATAAAATTATTTCAAATAACTATTCTTGAATTTTTTTTATTTTTTGAATATTTTAAAAAACACTTGTTTTTTAGGAAACACTTTAAAATTATTTTCTAAATTTTTTAAAATGGAAACGATACCAAACAGAGCCCAATTATTTTTTATTTTTTATTTTTTTCAATTTTATTATTTGTTCTTTCTGGTCAACATAATAAACAAAGTCGAATACAATTTGGTGTACCAGTAAAGTGATCATAAAGTATTACCGTGGTATTGCTGCTCAAGGAAAAGCAGCTTGAGAGTTTTACAAGCAAATAGTGCCTATGAATGAGAGAGAATGTTAGAATTTTTAAAGGCCTATTAACCACAACAATGCTATGAATCGACAAATTAACCAACTCTATGCTCTACAATTTCATCAACCTCAATCACTCTCAGTTGCTGTGCTCAAAGTAGGGATTCTTGTTTTGTTTTTATGTTTTTTGGTCCAAAAAAGGGAGGGGATGAGGGAAGAAATTCCAGCCAAATTAGATGATAGTGTTGTGTTTAGATTAAGGATTTGGGTTCTCTCTCAAATTATTGATCCAAATAGAGTCTAAAGTGCCGTTTGGTAACACTTACGTTTTCAGCTTTCTGTTTATATTTACAAAAATTTTAAAAACTCAAATAAAAGCTTGTTTGATAAATTTTTAATTTATAAATCAGTGGCCTCAGTTTATAAATTTGGCCAAAAAATGTAAACTCAAAAAATGTATTTCCGTTTTGAGTTTTCAGTTTTTTTTTTTTTACCACCCAACACTAGCCACCACCCGCCACCCATTTTCCACCACCGTCTTCCGTCACCACCACCTACCACTACCACCCACCAGTCACCACCCACCCCTCGCCGCCGCCGCCACCGCCACCACCACCACCACCACCACTCACCACCCGCCACCGTCACCCACCCATCTACCACCACCCGCTACCCACCACCCACCGTCACCACTTTCCACCACCGTCTTCCACCGCCACTTGCCACCACTTACCATTTCTCACTCTTTTTTATATTTTAAAAAATTTTCAAACATTTTATCAATTACCAAACGTGTTTGTAGTTTATGTTTTTCTAAAAATAAACAAAAATCAGTTTATAAAATTTTTATAAATATAAACTGAAAACATAAACATTACCAAACAGAGCCTAAATGTTTTCTTCATTATATCAAGCCATGCACTCAAAGTAAGGTCGTAAACAAACAGAGACGAGCCGAGTAGTAGGTTGTTTTGATTTGGCTTGAAAACTTTGGGAATATTTGGGATGATCTAAATAAGTATATTTTTTGACTTTTTACGAAAAAATGTACAAAAAAGCAAATAGGTGATATGACCCAAATAAGTGTACTTGTATAAGTTATACCAAACGCCCCTTAATAAGTATCAAAATTTTGTTTAATTTTGACTTGTTTAGGTTTTTAAACAAGTTTTAATCGAATTAAACTCGATTAGTTTAGTTTTATAGTGCATATAAGCTGATTAATAAATTATTTAAGTTTGATTTAAAAATTTAACGAGTTTTTAATAAATAAAAGATGTTAGTCTTTGAGGTGGGCATTGTCAATTATTACTGTGATTACCTAAGCTGCAAATTGGGCCTTGCTGGACAAAGCTGAGCCCGCCTGCATTTAGGGCCTCACGTCGAAACCATTTCGGCCCATGCTAATGCCAGCCCATGATAAAAGGTCCAGATCGTTCAAATTTGTTTGATCTGCGTAGAATTAAAGGGGCAGTTACGAGACGATTTTGTAGACTGGATTTATTTATCAAAAAATTCAATTTTAAATTTTAGTGATAAATTTGTTATTGTAAAAATATTTTTAAAAAATAAAATTAAACTACTTGCACTTCCCATATCATATTTTAATATAATTAATTAACACAAATAAACAAAAACAAAAAAAATTCAAAACTCACAAATAAAAGTTCAAATATCATCACTCTAATAAATTTATCAGTCTCATTAGGACCAAATGATCATTTCACAAAACACTAAACACTTCTAAAAAGTTCTAAAATTTTCTCATTTTCAAAATAAAAGATAAATACATAAAATAAATTAATTAATTAATCAAGATTTATGAGTAAATAAGTCCAATTAATAGAACTGATAATTGATCAAGATAATTAATACGGCAATTTTTATTTTATTTTTGTAGAATCCTAGCTAAATAAAAACACTACAACAGGTAAGTTTGTTTACTTTAATCTTACTAAAAAAATCAATAAAATTATGTCAAGCTTAAAACTGATCAATGTAATTTATGTCTTTTTTTTTCACCCTAATCTTACAAATAAAGGTGAACAATTACTTAGAGTATTTCTAATACAGATGTTAAAAAATTGTGTGTTGATGTGTTACATGACATAAAATAATAGAAGTGAGATCTAATTTTGTGTGTTAAAATTTGTTAAAGTGAGTTTGTGAGTATTGGAATAAGATGTTAATTTGTGTATACATGTATTATGTAGGGACAATTACTATTCAAGGTATGTTTTTAAAAATAATTTCATATCAGTAATAAAATTTATGTACATTAATAATTAAACTTATAAGCTTTGCCATAAATTTGCAATTATTTTGTAAAACAATGACTGTGTTCCCTTTTATGTATAGAGATAATATATATATATATATATATATTTTTTGGTCCCCTCTTGTTTTTCTTTTTAATTTCGCTTGTTAAATTTTTTTAGTTAATGAGGCCTCGTTTGGCAAATGTCAATTTTAGCCAAAAAGTCAAAAAGTTAGTAAAAAACTAAAAAGTCAATAAATCATACAAAAAAGTCAAAGATTCATTTTTCTCTCTATTTTTTTGCACAATTTTTCGTAAAAAGTCAAAAAGTCATCCCAAATATATTAATTTTTTTTACATCACATTTTAGCCAAAAACCTAAAAAATTACTAAAAAAAGTTGTTCCCAAATGAGGCTTGAGTGTGTGAAATGTTACAATGAAGATGTTAAAATGTATGCTAATTATGTATAGAATTGTACTTATTTTTTTTGGAGAAATTGCAAATACATAGAGTATTGGGGAAAAAATTGTATTATAAATGAAATATTTTTTGTATAACTTTGACACACCAGAAAAATTACACTAAGCACAAGAATAAATTTACACCATACATACAGAAAAATTATACTATCATAAGAATATAATTTTTCTCTCACTGCTCCACTGAAATACAATTTCTCCTATCTTTTTCCCTCTTTCTAAGAGGCCCACTCCACATATCTACTTTTCTTTTTCCTTTTTTTTTTTTTTAATTTCTTTATTTTACAACCGATAAAGCGCCCTCGTTAACAATAACATCAACATCTATCTATTTTAACACAATATTTGGTTAAAATGGTCTGTTATTGTGTGTTATATTAAAATAAAATTATAAAAAAAAAATTACTTATTAAAATTTGTTAATTAGTGAATGTGTGAAGTGTTATAATAAAAATGTTAAAATGTATGTAAAGGCTTGATTTGGACACTTTTTACTTGTAGTGAAAAGGTAAAAAAATTATTATAAGTTATTTTATCACTCTTTTTATTTTTTTTAGGAGTGCTGTCAGCGGATTGGCAAATGCAAATTGAATGGATTGGCGGATGAATACGAATTTGTTTGGCGATTTAAACTTTTATAAATTTTGAATATAATACAACAACTTGTCAATATTTTTTTTTTTGAATAATAATCCAATTCAACATAATCAAAAAATTATGAAATAAATTGTCAAATACCAATAATAAATATATATAAGAAAACCATGCATTATCAAAACTATTTCATTACTTTTTTTTATTCAATAACTATTTAATTTGATTTTTTTTTTAAATGACAAAATTAAGCATTATATTTTCTACACAAAAATACCAAATATCAATACTTGTCATCTGATAAAAGGATTTCTAAATTGAAAACAAATTGAAAACACAGTAGAATATCTAAACTCTTTTTCAATTGAAAATACAAACAAAATATCTAAACAAATGAAAAATCAAAGTCTTACAAATTACTATGGATGCTTGCGGTTTGACAGTTCAGTTGCGGCTAAAACAATCTCAAATTCGCCTTCCGTCCAAAACTAGGTGAATTAAAAAAAATCAATCTACAACTATTCACTCATCATTACGCATCCGTTCAAAATGTAGTGGATCAGTTTGATTCGATTTGTT